AACATGGAGGGCATTTACAAAGGACAGAGCTGTTAAGCCAGCGTGCACTCACAAAACACAGCATTTTCCAAGGAACCAACGGGGCAGGAAACGGAGGGTGCGGGGCAGGGCAAAACCCCCAAGCCTCTTGGTTTCTCCAACACATAAGCGAGCAAATACAGAGTCCCCCAAATACCTCACAGAGACCGACCACACAGTCACTTCTACCTAAAAACGGGGTAAAATGTCCGAATCACTGGAGAGTTTCTGGAAATCAAGCACCCACAAAGAAAAAACCCCACGGCCTGTGCCAAGCAGAGCGGTCCTGCCGGCACCGCGCCGGCCGGGTCAGTCTCCTTTGGGGCATTTCTCCTTGCTCATCTTTTTCATTTTCATCCTACGGTTCTGGAACCAGATTTTGACTTGTCTCTCTGTGAGGTTTAGAATCCTTGCCACCTCATAGCGCCGGTCCCGGGTGAGGTACATGTTGAAGAGGAATTCCTTCTCCAGCTCCAGCGTCTGGTATTTGGTGTAGGGACAGCGCTTTTTCCGGGTGGAGCGAGCGTGGATCCAGTTTGCGGCGGGGTTGTCTGTGAAGAGGGGGATGGAGAGAGAAGGGGAGGTAGGGAGAGATGACAGGGTGGGGGGGGAGAGGTCGTTAAATTAATTTCACCAAGGATGGTCGCTTTTCACAACTTGGGGGAATTATCATAAAAAGCCTTAATGCCGGCGCTCTGTTTGCCGTAGGAACCGCGCACCCAGGGTAGGTTGTTATGGGAAGCTTTTTTATGGATGCGTGTTGCTCGCCGCGGCTAGGGTAGGCGGCTAGACGTTTTTATAGGTTAGTAAAACTATCAGTTTTGCACATTCGAGCCTTACAGGTTTCAGCAATAAATCAGGGGGCAATTTCTTTTGCACTTACTTGGGTCAAGTTGCTGCGGTGGCGGCTGCGGATGCTGCTTCTCCTCCTCCTTCAGCGGGCAGCCCGGGCTCGGATGGTCGCTGCAAGCCGAGGGCTCCGACGAGCCGCCTGCCCCGGGCCCGATCCCTGCCCCCGGCCGCGTTCCCCCAGCCGCCGCCGCCGCCGCCGCCTTGTCCCGCAGGAACGAGTTGCACGAGAACTCGGGGTCGCCGCTCCCCTGGGACTCCCGGGCCGCAGAGCACTCAGTCTGTTTGGAGGAGGAAGACGAGGAAGTGGAGGAGGAGGTGGCGGCGGCCGCTGGGGTCGGGGCCGCTCCGGTTTCAGGCTTAATCCCGTAGTGGCGCCTGTTGGGTGGGCCGCTGGGGCCGGGGTTGGGACCGGGGCCCGGGCCGCCGCCGCCTCCTCCGCCGCCGCCGCCGCCCGCGCCGCCCGGGAAGCCGGGCAGCGGTTCCATCCAGGAGCGCATGTAGCGGCCGGGCTCGGAGGCGGCGGCGGCCAGGGGCGGCGGGGGCACGTACGGGTGGTAGAGGCCGCTCATCGCCGCCGCCGTCGGGGGCTGGGCGGGCACCGCGGACCACGAGGCAGAGAACACGGTCGATTTAGGGGCAAAACTACACGAGGCAAACTCGGCGGCGGCGGCCGGGCTGTCGGCCACACCTGCGGGCCTGCCCTGCGCGCCGGGCCCGGGCGGTCCGAAGCGTGCGGCGAACACCTCGTCGCCCTCATGGCCTATGAGCGAGTCCACGTAGTAGTTGCTGAGGGTGCCACTGGAGGACATTTTGCGGCGCCGTGCGCTCCCACCCAAGGTTACACTGCCCGCCGCGGCGCCGCTCCCCGCCGGCGCCCTCGCCGCCGACTAGTTCGCAGGCTGCAGCCTCCACCATTGGTCGCGCGGCCCACGTGATCATATTTACCAATACCGGGAGTAAATCAGTCCGCTAAACCGGGGGCTGCTGTGATTAAAAAAAAAATCATCATCAACACAAGCGCCGCAATTAGAGCCTGCGGGTCCCGGCCCGTGCGCCGGACTGGGCCCCACCGAGCCCGGCCAGCCCTCGGACTGCGGGGACCACACGCCTGGCTGCGGCCGGAGGAGGCGCTGGGACTATTTGTTCGCCGCCTCTGGCCGCCCTCGTCTTTCCGTGCGTCCCGCCGCTGCCTCCCCAGCTCCTGAGCTCCACGCGGCTAGCCACGCGCCCGGGGCTCCCCGAGCGCTTGGCCAGAGCCGGGACCGGCCAGGGCGCGCGGGGCCGGTGCTGGCCCCCGGCAGGGCGGCCTTCCGAGGCGGCCCCTGGCGCCGGAGGGAGCCCTTCTCCCTGTGCCTCTCTCCCTGCCCAAACCCCCCTCCCCGCACAGACCCACACACACGCTCTCACAGCTTGTCGTGTTGTTTAAAACAGGTGGAAGACCTTTGTAATGATATTATGCCTTTCAATAAAAATTTTATGAGGTGTATTTGATTATAGATTAATGTGTCCCTAATAAAACGGACGGATGGAGCAGCTCGGAGGGCCCCCTCCCCCCACCACACTCACACACGCCCATGCGGCCACATGCACACCCAACGGGAGGCTGAGCACACGCCGCGGCCCGACGGGTGAGCTGGGGTGGCCCCCGGGCTGGGCGCGACCATGGCCACCGCGGCCCAGGCTTCTGTCTGCCCGCAGAAGGGCTGGCAGGAGGCGAGTCGGACCCGCGCGGACAGTTGCGGCCGGGTGCCTGTCTTCTCCAGGACTCCCGCAAATGCCCTGCAAGAGAACACGCCACGGGGCAGACCCCAAATCCCAGCGCGAGACCCGCGCCCGCCCGCCACCCGACCTCGAGGCCAGGGGAGCCGCACCTCCCAAGGCAGGGCGTCTTTGCGTGGTTCCCACTTAGAGGCCTCCAAGTGGATGCCGGGGGTGTCTTTAAAATGGCCTGGTCCTGGGGCCACTCTCATCCGATTTTTTTTTTCTTTCCCTCCAGAGGTAAGGCTGGGCAGCCTTGAATCTGAGGGAAATGCCCATTGTCACTCCCAAATCCATGGTACAAAGCCTCGGAAGCCTGGCTGGGAGCCGAGACAAAAGCAGCTGGGTGCAGGCGGTGGGGGATGTGTTCCTTGCTCTATAAGTTGCCCAGCGCACCCTGGGAAGGCTCCCAGCCCACCTTGAGCCCCGGAAAGGAAGGGGGTCAATGGCTTATGGCCTGATTGTCTTTGCCAATGGCTTTCTGATTTTGTTCCAGAGGTGCTGCTGCCTTTGCCTGTAGCACGGTTTTCCTCCCAGACATGGCCCCCTGTCAACAACTAATGGTGCTCCCCACATCGTGGGGGAAACGGAAAAGTTAAAATTGCCCTCCTCCTGCCCAACCAATGAAGGTCTGGGGCAAATTGATTCCAGTGTTCCAAACTGGCATTCATTCAAACCCACTCTCTCCCACCCCTAGGAAATAGCTCCCCTAAAAGGGTTCTGTCTTAGAACTGGGGAAGGTTCTTGATTTTGAGAAGGAAGTTTAAAACTCTGAGTAAATACAGAGTCTGCCAGACTCCCTGGGTGAGGTCTCCAACTCTTAGAGACCCTAAAAAAATTGTTTTTAGGGGGAAAAAGGGCAGGGATGAAAAGAACATGTTTTGTGGAGCTGCTTGAAGCTGTTGGCGACCCTTTGAAACTGCAGCACAACCTGAGGTAACGGATTCTCTGTCAGCAATTCTTCCCAAGGCCTCCCTTTCCTTCTCCCTGGCAGAAGTAGATTAAGTCCGGGCTCTCTTGGGCTACGGATCCTCCAGTATATATACTGGTGAAAGCTGGGGTTTTTCAAACCATGGCGGCAGCTGGAACAGTGGACTTCATGGGAAATCATGTTCATTTGCAAATTCTCTTTTAGTCACCCTTTGTACATTTTCTTGCCCCCCAGATACAGTGGCTCTAACTAGCATTTTGTAATTAAATAGAGGGAGAATTGGTGGGGGGGATATTCTCTTCCCTTAAAAAAATTTCATGTGGACCACTAAAAGGTAATGACTGAGCATAAAATCCTTCCACAAGGAAACTAGGACAAAGTGGATGGAAAAACTCACCCATCCTCTGCTTCGCTGTGGCCTGGCTGTCTTGTGCTTGGGATGGGTGAGAATGAGGGAATGGGGGGCAGAATTGGATCCGATGCAATGCTAAGCTGCTGCTTGTCCTTGCAATGGAGGCCCCTTGGCTTCCAGGTGGGCAAGACTGGTTTCAACCCAGCCCCTGATGATGATGGCACGCCAGCCAGAAATTGCCAAGACCCACTGAAAGCATTAAAAATAACACAACCAAAACCAAAGAGAAAGACACATAAGTGGGGAGCTTTGAGGAAAAAGCAGCTTGGGCACAAGCTTACTTACTTACCAGGCTCGAGCTAGAGGGAAACTGATAATTCAATTCAATTATTGAGGGGCTAGGGAGAAAAGACTTCCCTTCTTCCCAACTATGGAAATAGCACCCCCCCACACACACACACACACTGCCAAATTTCAAGACCCTAGGCCTCCTCCAGCTTCTCTCTCACATCCTTTTCCTTCTCTCTATCCCCCCATACTTCCCAAACAAGCAGATTAACAGGAAGATAATCTCACCAAAGGCTTTCATTTCCACTGTAACAAATTTTCATTTTAGAAAGCAGAGGGAGCGAACTTGTTTCCAGAATTTATTGCATTATACATGCGACCAGAACATGCACAGAATGGACAGGTTGCTGTTATACTCTACCAAACCACAGATGCACCACAAGGGAAAGGCTACAAGGCATAAGTCATCAATATTCCATCTCACCAAGGACAATTGCTAGATTCATTTGTGAAAAGATACATTGTAATGTGCTTTTTAGTCCCCCTCCCCCCAAAGCTTGTGAATTTTCTTAATCTTTTTTAAATATATATGTAATTTAAGTACTTTAAGTACTGATGTATTCAAAACGCCATGGGCTCATGGACTAACCACACACAGACCTTTTGTGTTAGGAAAAACATGAAAAAAGTCACATTGCTGGATAGATGAATTGATTGATAAATGCTCTACAGTTCCAATAAGTTAAGACCCAAATGAAAACGCGCAGTAATAGTTACCCTGCATTACGATGAACAAAATAATAAATTACACGTGCTAGTTTTTAATATATATATGTATATATATACTCATCGGGATTACAGATCACTTGCAGCACAAACAGAATAACCCCAAAGTCACATTCTAGCAGGAAAACAAAACAAAAAAACAAAGAGCAAAGAAGGTTTTGTTTCCGCCTTCCCAGTCTTCCAGCACTGGGCCCTGGAATTCGGTGCCCCCTCTCTGATCCTGGCCTCCCACGGGCTTCGGACCTAAGAGAAGGTGAGGTTGGCGGTCAGTTCTCGGATCCGGTTCTCTCGGCTCATCTTCTTGAGTTTCATGCGGCGGTTTTGAAACCAAATCTTGACCTGCCTGTCGGTGAGGTTAACGCTCTTACTGATCTCTAGGCGGCGCTCGCGGGTGAGGTACATATTGAACAAGAACTCTTTTTCTAATTCCAGCGTTTGGTGCTTAGTGTAAGGGCACCTCTTCTTTCTGCCACTCTTTGCAGTGAGCCAATTGCTGGTTGGAGTATCAGACTTGATTTCCTCTAACAAAATTAAAGGGAGAAGAAGAAGAAAAAAATCAAGAATTTTTTTTTTTTTTTTTTTTTTGGTCTCTCAGTCTGTTCAAATGTACCCTTGGCCATGACCCTGCAGGCAGCCAGGCTGCTGTGGGAAATACTAGTATTAAACATTACCCACATGAGGTGGGCCTTGGAAAGGATTAGTCAGTGATACCAGATTAGTTTAAATGCCCCAAATGATAGGATGGGGCAGGGACCTGGCCTTCTGTGTCAGGGTTCTCCCTCAGCTTTCTGACCTGCATCAAACATTAGTACAATAGTAAACTTTCAGGGTCTCCCCAGCAACATTCCAAGTGGTCAGCTCCTAACAGGGCTGGAGTGGAAGAAGCAAGCCACAGCCTGGACAAGCCTGCCAATCCCACTGCTGCCTCAGGTCTCCAAGTCTGCCACTTCTTCCCCACTTTCCCTAGGCAGGTGGGGAGCCACACAGCCAGGCCGATAGGTGCCCATTTTCCTTTAAAACATAGCTGAGTACACCTTCTCCACCCTGCCCGGGCATTCAGAATTTCCTGAATTTTCATGCCTTCTCGCCCCCACACAAAAGCATTGCCCAGAAATGTAGCTCCTTAATGTGGCCCACCTTTAGGCACTGGAAGAGAGGCACAGGAGCTGGGTTCCTTCTCCAAAAAACAAACAAACCCCAGAGCCCCTGGCTCTCTGCCCTAGCCCAGCCCTAAGGCTGCCTCTGCCGGTGGGCCAAGCAGATTCTATTCTCCCCCCTTCCGCCTTTGCCCCCTCTGCAAATGAATTGCAAAGCTCGAGGCACTTTCCCCAGACAAAGCCAAGGTTACCTAGCCCCGCAGAGGCAAAGAGCCCTTGTTTCCCCCGCTCAAGCGCCAAACAACCAAGCCATCTCGTTCCCCTGGCCGCCCCCAAGCTCGCAGGATGCGGGGTGCATACACTTAAACACGAACACGGTGTCTTGGACCACCTTAAAATCATAACTGGGTCAAAGTTGGGGCTGCAAATCTGAGCAAGAGAAAGGAGGTTCTGGGGCTGTGTTTATGAGCTGCAGGTCATTTGCGCTCTTTTGTTGCATTTCAGATCTAGCTCAGGAAAAATAAACCCAGCAAGCCCTTCCTCTGGCGAGACGCCATCAGCGTGGAGCCAGGACTAGCCAGGAGGGCCAGGGCAGCGGGGGAGAAGCGGGGATGAGCTGGGGACTGAGGATGCCCCTCTAAAAGCTGGGAGGAGCAGCACCGGCCATCGCCCCGCCTGAGCTGCCAGGGCTCTGCGCCGGGCACCCAGGTGCTCCCTCTTTGCCGGGTTCCCGGGCTGCGCGCCCCGCTGGGGTGGCAACCCTGCTCATACCGACCTTTGCTCTCCTTCTCCTGCACTTCGGGACTGGACACGGAGACCTCAGCCAAGCAGCTCCTTTCTTCCGGAAGGCCACCCTTGGCCTCAGGGCTCTCCACCTGGGAGACTTTGGTGGGGTCCTGGCCGCTTGCAGGCTCGTTCATCTTCTTTTCCATCTGCAGCTGGGCGGCCGAAAGCTGTGGCTTGGCCGCGCCGCGAGGGTTGAGCTGGAGCATGACTGTGGAGCTGCCTTCGGGGCTGTTATTGTACTCTTGGGTTTTCCCGGTGGCGTAGGTCTGACTCAGTCTAAAATATCCAGGGACAGGAACCTCGGGGTTCTCAACGGGACAGGACTCGGGGACCAGCCTCTGGTACGAAGGGACCTCGGCAGAAATGAGTTTGTTGCGCTTATCAGAATACATGCAGCAATTGGATTCTTCCTTAATGTTGGTGGTGAAGGAGCAAGTGGGGACTTGCTGTGTAACAGGTTGCTCTATTCGACAAGATCTGTTCGGGTCTGTCCAACTGTCTACTTGAGGTATATAAGGATGCACATTCATACCCATATTTTGGTGGTTCACTTCTCTTTTGGCCAGAGACGGGAGCAGTCCACAGGTTTGCATTCCATAGGTCCCCATGTCTGCGCTAGGTGGTGGCATGTACATGCTGGCGCTGCTCGAATAAAAACTGTCACTCCTGCAGGCACTGATCAAGGAATCTACTAAAAAAGTATTAGCAGCAGGAGAGCTGTTGGGAAAGGACATTTTGGGGAGGAATTTGAAGAAGAGAGATTGTGTCCTTTGTAGGCTGACATCTCTAGGAAAACATTCCCCGTGTAATTGTGGATGCCTCTGCCGACCACATGACAACCAAGCCAATGAGATTTGAAAATGGCCTTGAGCCGCAGCCTCCTCGCAGGTCACGTGTTCCAGAGCCAGGCCGGCCGGCCGCTTAAGCACGGACAACAGCGACATCTACTATGCGCCGGAGATAGTGCGCGCTGGAGACCACCGGCCCAGCGCTCTCCGCCGCCCGCCAGCCTCCCGGCCTCGGCTCGGCCCGCCCGCCCCATTTGCGTCCCCCACTCCGGCCTCTGGGCCACGAAGGCGGAAGGAAAGGCTCCGCCGGAGGGGCCTCGGGAGGACACGCGCGGGGAGGGAAGCCGGAGCGTTGTGGCGCCAGCACATAGAAGCATTCCACGCACACACCCAGGCAGAACGCGCCCGTGAGGGCCGGGGCCGGGGCGCGGGCGGGGGGTGGGGGCCCAGGCTGGTTAATTTTGTCCCGGGCAGCCTGGGAAGGTGAGTCGAGTCCCTGGGGCCTGAGACCTTCCACCCTAGGAGTCCACAGGGAAGATCTCACGCGCAAAGACGCGGCCAAGGTATCCTGTGGAGCAGAGGCGATAAGCCACGCAGCTGGCCGGCCCCTGAGGCTGAGGCTGAGGACCGCTCGGCCCCAGCGCTGCCCTCTCCTTCCGCCTGGCCGCCCGGGCTCCAGGTTCCTCCGCGGAGCCGCGTGCCTGCCGAAGAACCACACCCGACCTTTAGGGCTGGTGCTGGGAGCTTTCAAACCGAAGGCAATCCCTCGCCGCAGTTCGTTATCCGCGAAAGCGTTCCCATCGGGAGAACTAAACCGATGTTTCCCTCCCCACACACCCTGATCACAGAGGGCAACGAGGAAGAAAGAAAATAATTTTTTCAAAGACGGAGGAAAACTCTCGCCCTCAGACTCTAGAAGTTTTAGAAAACTGACTGGGCCAAACAAGAGAGAGAGAGAGAGATGCAAAGGTGTCATTTGGTTCTTCTGCAAAGAAAAATGTTTTCCTTTTATGGATTTTGTAAAAGCATTGGTTTCTGACAAGTGCAAGGTACAAAAGGTTGTGGAATTTATTAATACATATTAAGAAGAATCAGGGCGATCAATAAAATTCTCATCTACATTCTTGGGCTACTTGGTAATTTTCTTGCTTCTGAAGGTTTTTAAAGAGTTATACCCGCTGTTGCCACACACGGGAAGATATTTTATTAACAAATCAATCGAGACTTAGTAAAGGATAAGATTAATAGTTAGGATTTAGCATAATGGCGTTCGCTTTATGAATTATTGAAAATTATACTATTGATTTTTCCCCTTCGGTACTAACCAAGAAGGTCAATTTTTGTTTTAACACAAGTTGTCAAATATTAAAAGCTATACTTTTGTCAAAAGTAGAGTTTTATAGTTTTGGACAATTCCTCAAATTATTTGACACGGTTTTGCTTGGGTAAGAGGAGGGAGAGGAAAGGGAGGTGGGGTAAGAACCTTCATCCTCTGTTTCCTTTGTGAGGGAAAGTTCTATAAAGAGGATTTGGTCTGGGCTTGTGGTTGAACTCATTAAAGAACACCACCATCACCGCCATGGAAACTCGGAGTTTTATGAGAAACTTCTCCAACAACTTCCTCTCTCCTTCTCTAGTTGCAGGCGGCTGAGCCACTCTATGGAAGCTCCGGCCTCCGGGCAGAAGCAGAGAGCTTTAACCTTGATTCCTTCCCAAAGGCTTGCCCTGGCCAGGCCAGGTCGCTGGAGCTGTCCTCTGGCTTCCGGGTCCCCTTCACTGCATCCGAGAGAAGAAAAGGGCCCCTGGCTCTGATGGTGAACCAGTGCTCTGTCCCGAAGGAAGGCATCCGTGTTTTCTTCTCCCCACTTTGCCTTGTTATGGGCTGGCCTTGGATTTCAGGCCCAGAGACTGAACTTGTGGGCAATTTGGGTTTCCATCTCAGCAGAACAGTTCTTTGGCGCCTGATGCTAAAGAAAGCACATCACCATTCTGGGGGACCCACTTGCTCCATCACAGAAACCTTTTCCAACAAACCCTTTGTCAGCCCCTCCCCAAAAGGACTGTCCCCTGGCCTGGTGGAAAAGCAGGGGTTGGACATTATTTTCAGCCTTGGGACGGCTGCGCCTGTCCCCTCGAATTGCCCTCGCCCAAACAATAACCCCTTTTAAAAAACTGCGGTGGCAATGAGACAGACCTTTTAAACCTTTAAGCAGCTGTTCAAATACAACATCATTGTCAGGTTAAAAGCCTAGAGCCTCTCACTGCTCAGACTGCAGGATGCCCTGCCAGGGAAGCCGGAGGGTTAAACATTACATTACCTTTTCACAGGGTTGTCTGATTTTAAGCAGAGGGTGGAGGGGGGGGGGGGAGGGAGAGGATGAAGAAGGCAGAAAAAAAAACACCAACTTTTTAGTCTAGTCTGCTAAGGTCCTATTCCAAGCTAACCACCACTGATCAGCACCTTGAAAATTGCTTTCTTCAAAGGCGGAGATGATCATCCCAGCCACTGCAAAACGTGCCCAGGGCTGGACAAAATGCCCGCTACACGCACTCTCGGCAGGCGCCCTGACGCCAGCCTGGCGCTCCAACACTGTCCCTTTCCATCTCAGCCAGGAACTTGGTTGTCCAATTCTCCCTATCCCACGCAGAAGGCAAGACTGTTCAGTCTAACTGGGAATCAAATGCCCTTTCATAATATTTGTTTACACGAGAAAACAGCCAAGCTAAAGAACAACGATTCCTCATGGAGCGCAGTCTACCAGAGCAGGCGGAATCTGCCTTCCGATTTGAGAGCCTTTCTGTTTCAGCTCCCGGTGGCTTGGAGTTCAAAGTCACCCCCACAGTGGATTTGGTTTTAAATAAATCTTCTTCACTCACCGAAATAAAAAGTATATCAGATATAATTTTGAATTACCACAAAATTCAATTTTATTATTTTTCAAATTTCTGCCTTCAGACCAGCTCCTGGAGGCCAGAGATTGCCAATATTTCAAAGAGATTTTATCATAAAAATCAAGCAAAATAGTTTTAATACAAAGAATCATCTGGGCAGAGGAGGATGCAAAGTTTGTCTAAGACCCTAAGGCTGAGATGAAGCAAATGGAGTGAAAAGACAGTGGCTTTCAAGGCCAGCCTTTATTTTGCTTACGAGTATTTAATATAGCTGCATTGCCACTGTTCTCGATCATCTTTAGATCAGTGGGAGCAGTTACCATTAATAATAAATCAATATTGCACCATCAAGGAGATGAATATCCACGCTTCTACCAAAACATCCTTCTCCCTGGCACAGCTCTTTCCCCGAGAAAAATTAAAAGGGTCGCTTTGTCAGGAAATTAGCATTTGTAATCAAGAAATGGTTTGCGTCTGTGCTTTCTTGTCACTGGGGAGAAGAGCAGGGGCCCTGGGCCTGAGTGAATTTGGGGGCCCCTAGGTTTGCCTTGAAGTTTGGGCCCTGCATGGCCTGCACCTTTGGGTGCAGAGTAGATGGAGACAAATTTAAAAGGCTGCTTCCTTAAGGCACCCCTCGTCGTTGTACTGTGCACCTCCCAACCAATGTGAAAAGAAATCAAGGGAGCAAATGGGGAGGCTGGGGAAGCCATCACCACCTGGATGAGGGATCTGTGAAAACAGGTAAAAGGGCACTGGGCCAGGGAGCCTCTTTCCCTTGCAGACACAAAGATTCCTTATTTAGCGCATTTTCCCTCCACTTCAAGATCTGAGACCCCAGAGACTCAAGACACATGACCACCCTCCAGGAGCCCCATAACCCTGACCGATCAGGAAGGGTCAGGTCCGCAGCCCTGGGAAGTCCTGATCCAATCTCCTGGCCTTTTTCAAGTCCATCTTGGGAGCCTCCAGGAGGGAAAGAACTGCAAACCGATGAGCACCCGGGATCTTAGGGAAGGCTGCCGGCCCAGGCCACCCCTCCACAAAGCCACACGCACAACCCCCGCCCCCCAGCCACTTAAAGAAGAACACAACGACATTTGGGGAGGGGAGTTTTCACCCCCAAGTGAACTGAGGCCCCGGGCTAGGCCCTGCAAAATGTCTCTTCAAAATATCTAAGCTGGACCCACAGTCTGGCAGGCTGGAGCCGGGGTGTCCGCAGGGAACACCCATGCCTCTGGCTGGCGCCTCAGGGGGTGCTCATGGTGGCCCAGCCACCCTGGAGCCACCCATGCCAGCTCCCAGGGGTGGACCCAGGGCCCTTGGTCCAGGGTCTGGAGGGAGGAGACAGAGACAGCGGAGCCGGCACTAGTTCCGGGATTTCATGAGCTTCACAATGAACTTCGACGAAGGGACAGTTACCCATCCTTAGAAACCCACGTCTTAGTGAACTCCCTGTAGGCCCAAGGCTGGTAACACAGACCCTCCCAACGTCAGGGAATTCACAAAGGGGGCGGGATGGGTGGTAGAGAACGGCAGGAGGCACGAAAATCAAATTCTGTGCTCAAGGCCCGCAGGCGGCTAGGAAGGGTGACCAGAAGTCTGTCAAACGCAAACCCCGTTTGCTTCCTAGCGTTGCCCACTCCGCGCCACCCAGGAGTATAAATGTTACCCAGGACAGGCGGCCGCTTCCCGCAGCCGCATCAGCTCCGCTTTGCCCGCCCCCGGCGCCCCAACTCATAGTCCTGGTTGTGCCTCCCGGTTGTTGCCCCACAGCCCCTGAAGCTAGGCTCGACCTGGGGGGCAGGGGGACTTCCTCGCCCAGAACGACCTCCCTCCTTAGTTCCGACGGGTCCCATCTTTTCTGGGACCACACTCAGCTACTTTGCTAGCGCCCCATCTGCCTTAAACAAAAGCCTTTTAATCATCTCAGGGGGTCTGAGAGCGCTCAAGACGGAAACGGTTTTGGGAAAGGGGTGGTCCTGTCCTCATATTGCTCTCTGCACGCAAACTAACAGGAATATTGATTTCCCTGATTTAATTGACTCGCAGTGGCATGGCCTATTTTGAAATGCACATATTAGTCTTTTCAAAATCTCTCCTAGACTCCTCCAGGTTATAACAAGGTACTCCTTGCGACATCTTTATCTTTAAAGAGACAACGATTAGGTGATCGCTATTTTCAGAAATAGGGGCAGTTCCCTTTTCTCTGTCTTTATACAACTTCCAGCATCTCATAGCTGCTTCGGACAAACAGCAAACGAATGCCTTAGTGGCCGCCTGTTTCTAATGGGGCTGAGATTGCCTATTAGCATCCAGTAACGGACAGATACGGTACCGCGGCCTCTCCGCCAACCACGGCTTCTGGAACGTGAGCACGCCCCCGTGTGGCTCTCCAAGGCCATACAAATGGAAAACGCTATTTCTTGCCTAAGGTGTGGACATACAAGCTTGCTACATTTAGCCGCAATAAAAAAAAAAAAAAAAAAAAAAAAAAAAAAAGGAAAGAAAAGATAGATGGAGAGAGAAAGAAATAAACCAGTTTTAAGCTCCTGGAACGATCATACTAATACTACTAGGGCACTGACATTTTAACGTATGCCCATAATTCCAAACAAAGGAATCCCTTTCCAAACGAAATTACTCAACTGTAGACTTTGTTTCTATTGCATCTTTCACCAAAGGTTGTAGGATGCTTTTGAAACAATATATTTTCTTTTGTTCCATGTTATAGAAAGTGCAATAATTTATTTGACAAGGTGACAATTTTTAAAAAATATTAACGAAGGTGTAAGTCTAACTAGAACTTCCTTTTTCAAATGCCTGCTTTTAAAACTGAGGTTCATTATTACAGCAAAGGGGACAACTATCTATGACTCCCCTCAAACCCCCCACCATTTTGTAGCTGTATTAAAAGCATGCTGATAGACATTTTAATCTAACTAGTGTGTGGTTTTTTTTAAAGTCAGTTGCTATTGAATTACACAAATGCTTGAAGGGAAATTAAGATTATTGATTCTGAAATTAGGAATTTGCTTAGATTTATGGTGAGCCTCCATTTGATTCTGTGTGGTCATAAATGTGTGTGGGGATCTGGATGTGTGAGCATGTGTGTGAGAGTGGGTGGCGGATGAATATCACAGAAGAACCTTAAGGTGACTAATTATTCAGAAAGGTTAAAGGTGATGACCTTGACATTTTGGAAGTTCAAAGGCGTACACTTATGCACTTATGTTTTTCCTTGCCCCCTAAAGCTTTGGCAATTAAAAAAAAATTTTGCATTTAGAAATGCATGCTTCCTCAGAAGAGGCATGTGGTGCTGTATATCTTATGGATTTTTTTTTTTTTTTACTTTGGGCTTATGAGAGGTTAAAAGTCACAAGATTCACTTTACTCTTTTCAGAGAAAGAGAAGCTTTTCTCACTCCTCCAGTTTATTGCACATTGCGGAAATCTCTTTTGGGCCCACCAGAAGGTGTATAATATAACCCAATTAAGCTGTTTAGAACTTTGGCTTTTATGGTGTTGTCTAGACAGTTCAAGGTTTTGTAAACAGCTTGGCCTGGTCCTGCAACATAAAGTGCAGTACCACCCCCCCCACACACACACCCCAACACACACACATTCTTTAACTTGAAGCGATAAATGTGGAGAAAACTGGGTCTGCAGCCCTGGGCCCTATTTTAGGAAGATGACTTATCTTCCTTGTTCCAAACCCGCTGTGACACCAGCAAGCGCCTTGAGACCTCTCTGCCTACTTATACTTTCCTTTCTGCAAACTTTTTTCCCCTATAAAGTGTTCTAATATTGGTTTCTTCTTTTAAGGGACCTTGTATCTTTGACACTTTGTTACGAGTGACTTTGGATTTTCTAACCAGTTTTTTTAAATTTTTTGTTTTGTTTTGTTTGTTTGTGTCCCTCCCCTGGCCCCCCCCCCCCAAATTCCAAGTTCACTAGACTAAGGCGAAGGGAGTGTTGCTACTTCCGTTCCTGCTGCCCCAGCTCATCCTCTGGAGACATCAGCACCAGGGTCACATCCTCAATTCAGAAAGCCATCCCTAAAATGATTTTAAAAACCAATGCCGCATACCAGTGGGGGGGGGGGGGGGAATGAGAGGGGAGGACAACTCTTATTTTGACGGAATTAAAAAGCATTTCACTTGAATTTCAGTTGCATGGGGGAGAAAATTTTGGCCACTAAAATATCCTAACCAGACACTAAAATTATTCAAAGAGGAAAATCCATACAGTGTATTGAAGCTGTAACCTCCATTTTACTAGAAACCATTTATTCACACAAAAGACAGTGACTCGTGCCTCGATCGGACAAACCAAAGGTACATTTCCCAGAGTTTAAATAATCTGCATTCACCAAGGGGGGAGGACAGGGTCCCTTAAACTCAGAACAAAAACAAGTGCCTTGCAGCCCAGGCCTAACTCTCTACAGATCCCACAGCGTCCGCACCGGGACCTGGAGAGAGAGAGAGGGTAAACAACAGCACACTGGCGGTAAAATTGTAAAGGGACGTTTGCATTTACCATTTTCCCCATATTAGGATCCATTCGGCCAAGTCCCCGGCCTCGTCCGCAGGCAGCAGTGGTCGCTGGGAGGTCCCGAGTTGACCGTGGGAAGGAATGGTGGAGTTCCACAGAGAAGAGGCGTCATTAAACCCAAGGACATTGGGCCTACCGAAAGCAGGCTGGTGGGGAGGAGGGTGAGTGAGTGGGGCTTGGGGGACAGGGGTGCTTGCTGGAGCTCTCAAAACAAGGGATTTCCAGTGAAATACTGCAGACGGTCTCTGTTCAGTTTCTTTTCCTTCATCCTGCGATTCTGGAACCAGATTTTGACTTGCCGGTCAGTGAGGTTGAGCATCCGAGAGAGCTGGAGTCTTTTCTCTTTGTTTATGTACACGTTAAAGAAAAACTCGCGTTCCAGTTCGCGGATCTGGTACTTGGTGTAGGGACAGCGCTTTTTCCGGGACCGCTGGGGGGCTACTGCAAGGCAAAGAGACCAAGGGGTGAGAGAGGCCGCTGCCCGCCAACCTCCGCCCACCCTCCCGCCCAGGCCTTCGCGAGGGCCAGGCCTCGGCCCTTTGGGGACGTCCCCTGCCTGCCGCTGCTGAAAGGCCCTGCCTTCGTCGCGGGGGATGACATATGGGCGGGCACAGGAGAGTGCGGGCGAGGACGGGTGTTCACACCCTGACACACGTACAGCCTGGCACCGAGGTGGGGGAGCAGGGCTGCAGGCCGGCTCTGAGCTGGAGCCCGAAGGGAGAGAAGCGCGAGCGCACCGGGCATCTGCCTGACTCCAGCCAGCAGCGCGCTTCAGCCAGGGGCTTGGATAGGGTCCAGGTCCAGGATCAACACCCCCACCCACCACCACCACCACCTTCATGCAGGAGGCGCGAGTGTCCACACTCACAAATGGGCTTGAAATCTCCCCTCCTTCACGCCTCCCTCCATGGTCTCTAGCACATACACACCCCAAACTGGGGAAACGCTCTCTGCAGCGATTAAGGTCCTCCTCCAAGTCTACCTTAAGCCCACCTAAATTGGTTTCCTATCGTAAACACGCTTTACAACGGCCCGGGAAATCTTATAGGATGTATAAACCTCTTCGAACGCTTATAAAGTAGCACATAAAACGGCGCAAGCAGAGGGAGGCCCCCGCCCCCCCCACCCCCCGCGCCCGCGGCCCCTGGGGCCCAGCCGCCCACCCTGCGCCCCGGTGCCTACCTGTGCCGCCGCTCTTCTCAGCCCCCGCCTCCCCCGGGGGTCCCTCGCCGTCGCCCCCGCTGCCTTCTGCCGCCCCCTTCGGCTCCGAAGCGGGGGTGGCCTTGGCGCAGGGACTGCCCCCACCGCCACCGGTCCCCGTCTTGGGGTCGCTCTTATCGGCAGCGCCCTCGGGCTGCGGGGGCGCGGGAGGCGGCGGGGGCTGCGGCCCGGAGAACGGGGGCCCGGGCGCGGCCTCGTAGAACTGGTCGAAGCCCTGCGGCAGGATGCCGTTGCGGCCCACGGCGCTGTAGAAGTTGGAAGCGGCGCCCGCAGGGCCGTGTGGCGGCCCCGGCGCGGCGCACACCGGCTCCGGCGCCTTGAAGAGCACGTCCGGTCGGCGGCCCGCGGGCGGCAGCAGCTCGCGTTGCATGGCCGCCTCCTCGGCCGCCGCCGCTGCCGCCGCCGCCGCCGCCGCGGCCGCGTAGTAGGGAGCGTAGCCCCCTGCGCTGCTGCTGCCGCCCCCGCCGGGGCCACCCCCGCCGCCGGCCCCCGCGCCACTGCCGCCGCCGCCACGGTACGGCCACTTGGCGCGCTCTAGGCCGTAGTCGCGGAAGGCCACCTCGCGCACCGGCTGGACGTGCGGCGCCAGGTTGGAAGAGTAAGGAAAAGTCATCTGGCAGGACGATGGTTGCGACAGGAACGACGGCTTGCTGGCGAAGTCCGACGGGGCCACATAGTAGGCGCAGCCGGGCAGGTACATACTAGCTGCGCTCGGGCCGCACTCGTCAAAGTCGTTCATGGCTCCGCGGCGTGCGCGCCGGCGAGCCCTGGGCCGCTCCCCGCGCCGCCAACCTGAGCCATTGATTGCACAAGAGGCTTGGGCCAGGATCAACTAAGCAAAAATCCCCACCGGGCGCTGACGTGCAATTCATCTTGATTGATTCTGGTGGTAATTATGTCACGTGACGCCATGGAGAGAAATGTCCTTATATCTATATCAGCGCTCGCCAACACGCCCCGGGACGGCTCCTGGCGCCGAGACACGCGCGTTGGGGGCGGATCGACCTCCCTCTCCAGCCAGATCTCCTTGGGCGCCCCCGACTAGGCTGCTCCGCAGACTGGTCACCTGTGCGCCGCCGGTGGCTGCCACTGCTGGGTGCATCTGCCACCGCCCGGCTGGGCCGCCCGCCCGCGCCGCTTAAGTACGCGGACCGAGGCTGACGGGGAGGAGGAGGGAGGAGGAGGAAGGGGGAGGAAGGGGGAAGGGAAAGAAGCGGAGAGCAGAGGGGGGAGCCCCGGGCCGGGGCACTGGGGACTAGGTGTGAGGGTGTGAGGTTCCCACTCTCCACACCCCTTCCAGCAGCCGATCCCTCCCCCAGCGACGCCACCACCCCTGCAGCGTGCCAGCAAGGAGCTTGTTGCATCTCCTTCAAGGGGCGTGATTGCGCAGCTCTCGGGGGCGCAAGGAGTCTGATTTACATATTTCTCTGCCAAGCGCTTTCGCTGCAGAGTAACTTGGCTCTCATCACTCCTGACCTTGGGAGCGCCAGTGCCAGCCTCGGAAAAACCCACTCCAAAACCCTACCAGGCGCTCACCCAGGCTAGGGCCTCGGTGCCCACTCGGTCCTGTCGCCCTCTCTTCTCCTCTCTCTGTTCCCGTCTCTTCTTTCGTCTCTCTTGCAGCCTTCCCATTTCTTTCTCTCCTGTCCTAATTGTCTATTCCCCTCTCTTGTTTCTTCTTTTCTCCTACGTTTCTGTCTCCTTTTCTCTGCTCTGTCTCCTGATATTCTCTCCTCCTTTCCCCTCGCTGTGTGTCACAGCCTCTGCCCGGATCCCTGTCGCCTCTGCCTTTTTCTCTCCCGGCGCTAAAGCAAGGAGGACACCCTGATGGCCCCTCTGGAAGCTGGGGGGTCTGATGAACAAAAGGACCTGGAGTTCTTCTCTCAGGGAGCCCAGCCTTTAGTTCTCCCCTAACCAGAGACAAGCCACCCGGCCTCGGCCCTTCCCACCCTCTCTGCTTTCTGGCCTGGACTGGGACCAGCCAGCCTCACATACAGCCCAGTCCCTGTGTGGGGACCCCATCAAGGCCTACTTATCTGCCATATCTCCCCTGGTCTCCTTTCTGTCCTTGGGCCTACACAGTCTCTGCACCACCCTCTCCCCAAGTCTGTTGATTTGGGGGGTGTCTCTCAGCAGCTCTTGCCTCCTTGCTTGCCTCGGCCCTGAGGACCTCCCCATCTGCTCGCCCCAAGGCCTCACTCTCCTGGTGGCCACTTCGTCCCTATTTCTAGCCTAGGGACCCAGGCAAGGCCTGGGCTCCCGCCTCGGAGGGGCCAGCGCTTTCCAAAGGTAAAATCAGACTCTCAGAAAGAAGCTCCTGCAAACCCCAATCCCTGAACCCAGGGTAGGAAGTTGCTGCGTTCCCCAGGATGCCTCTGCCCAAGCAATCAGAAACACTGAGCCCTGGGACTTAGCCTTCCACCCAGGGCGGGTGCAGGCTGCGGAGCGGGTTCCCTCCCTGGCTCCGGCCACTGCAGTGCCCCTGAAGTGAGCTCTGCCCACCTCCACACAGAGAAAAGGCGGGCGGGCAGAGCTCATATCTATTTTCTGCCCAATGTCCCCCCTCTTCCTCTTTTTCTCCTCCCTTCCCTTTTCCCTCCCACTCACCCTTCTCCACCCCCACCTTCCTACCTCTGCTTCCCTCTGAATACAGCGCAAACTGGTCGGTGGCGACTGGAAGGCAGGGAACCTCCCCTGCCCCCCCAGAACTGCCCATCCTTTTGTGCACCTCCTCAAAGCGGGCACCTTTACCCAGATTCCAGCTCGACCCCCTTCTCCTCAGCCCAGAGCGCCAGCACAGTTATCTGCCTCCCCATCTGCACCCCGGGCCAAGCCTCCTTTTGGGCTCGTAGTCGATGCCCCTGGATCTTTCTCCTAAAATGGCTCCCGGGACACTGCACACTAGCCCTGCGGCAGCTCAGGACCCTGGGCAACGGCGGCGGGGCCCCCAGCCGGGTCTGTATGTGTCTGGGGGCACACAAAATTCTCGCGCCTTCTCTCTGCATGGGGTGGGGCGCAGGCATCCCTCTACCCCCCAAATAGAGTCTGCTGGCTGCCTGAGAGGGAAATGGGGAGGACGAACCATTCAAGTTCAACGACATGGCGATGGCGGCTCGGACTGGAGCCGCGCTTTGGCGGGGGAGGTTCGCCATCTGCAGCGGCTCACGGGTGTAAAGAGAAAAGGGGCGGCGGGCCCCCTCTGCGCGTTTGCACGGACCCCCGCCCCCACACCCAAGCCAGGGCTTTCGTTCTGGCACCAGCCCTCTTAGTCTTTGGGCCCCAGCTCCCTTCTCAATCTTTATCCCAAACCCAAAGAAAACCGCAACCTCCCAACCCGCGCGTCCGCTCGAGAACCTACCGTGAAGCCCCTGGTGCTGTGGCCTCGTCCTTGCCTGCGCGACCCCACTCGAAGCGCAGGGAGGGAGCGCACCGCACCCTCCCGCACAGCCCGCAGCTCCGCGAGTGGTAGCTTTCCGAGCAGCGCCTGGACGCTCTGCGGTGATTTTGAGCCACCCAAGATAAGACACTAACTTGACCTTAACTTTGTCAGGGCGCCCCTGGTATCTGGAGAACGTGAACAGACACTGTCTGGCAGCTCTCGTAAAAGCTGACTGGGGAAGGGATTCTGAGTCATTTCATTTATTGCCACTACAGTTCTGCAAGAAAGCTTTTCCTCCCTGCCAAACTTTAATTATTTATGCTCTTTTAGGAAACGAAAGAAGAGGAGGAACGAGGGGAAAACACCCACAGCCAGTCCCTTCCCGCAGAGCCTTCGGAATGGGCTTCCTAAGTCGAGTGACTGGAGAGCAGCAACAACAAAACAAAAAAATGTGGGGCGACCACCTTTGTCCGAGGATGATAGGACAGGCACCCCCCACCCCCACCCCCACCGCCACTAAGGTGGGTGGGTGCAGCTGGGAGAGGCGGGGTGAAAGGGCACCCCCTTCCAGGCACACACATGAATATTTACAACAGTTCTGGATTTCTCCTCCATCCCAACCCCCTGCCTCCCGGAAGCCTCCCCAGCTCGCCTCCCTTGGGGAGAGCCCCAGGCCTTAAAAGCGTCCGGGTAGGCTCCCTGAGTTCGCAGCCATTGAATGCCAGACGAAGCAGTTTTTGTTTTGTTTGTTTTTTTTCTCATTTAAAAACCGTTTTCTTGGTGAAGAGGCCTGCCTGGACTGCAGCATTTCCGAGTACGCATTTGTCTTGGTGCGAGGGAATGTTGAGCACTCAGACTTCAGCATCCTTTCTCTTGGGCGTTTGTTTCTTATGGATTTCCTCGTGGTTCCAAATCCCCGCCGGGATTTCAGCCACCGCTGCTACAGGAGAGAGGGCACCGCCACCCCGCCGCCGCCTTTGTATTTATTCGGATCAGTAAAAGGAGTAGATTTGAAAAGCATTGCCCAAGCCATATGCCACAGATAAGATTTTACCCTTAGAATAATTTCAATCTGTTTGGGGAGTGGTCTCCATGAATATCTCCTCCCACCCTACGTGCCAGGCTAAAGAGAAAGAACAGGATGCTTTAATGATATATATTAGAAAGAAATGGCCTCCTGCATGCGGTCTCAGGTCTTGGGTTTACGTCTGGCTTCCTGTTCCTTTACCCAGCCCCCGAACCTGAGGTCTGAGAATGGTCTCCTCTTTTGTTCGGATGTTTTTGAGAACCAGCTCCAGGTACCAATGCCTCCCTGAGCCCCACAAAATGGGGAAACATTTCTAAAGAGAGGGTCTCCCCAGCCTCTTGGTTCCTTTTTCCTCCGTTGTATTTTTTAAAGGAGCTGCTTTAAAAATATTTTTAAAGTACACACCAAATTCGATTGTGGGAAGGGGAACTGGAACCATTAAGTACTCACTATTAGAGATTTGGCAGTTTTGTCCATTGTCCCACTTGCTAAACACTAGAAATTCTTCACTTTCCATCTCCAAGCTAGCTGGAGCTGGGGTCTATGAGAGGACGGTGAATACAGCAGGCCTTTCCTTGCTTTCTCTGACTGAGCTACAGGCTCAGAAGGCCTAGGGTGCAGAGGCCACATTTCCCAAGGAAGTTTGCTGGGCTGAAGGCAGAGGTGCCACAGGGCATAGCCTTTTCCAGGGAAGGCTGAGCAAAACATGGCAGGGCGAGATGTTTGTATTGAAATATGAGGAACCTCATATCTTGGCAGCCTCCATCCCCCTAACAATAGCAAGCTTTCAAGTTTGAGAATTTAGGCAAAATGCAGAAGCCCCTGCCTGCAATAAGCTGAGGGTTTGCTTCGTGTGTGAGACACACTCAAATCTGTCCACGAATCCCCCTCTTTGGCTATTTCACACACATTTTGTTCATACATCATTTCCTGACTGACTTGGAAGACATCTTCTCATCTAATGAACAATCAAGTTAATACCTACAGTGAAACGGCAACCAGAAAAGAAAAACTGGATTTCGTGGCCTGAAAAACATTAGGAGGGAAATCCGAAACGTTTTGATAAATCAACATCAGTCCCTTGACAGCTTGGCTGGGACCTGGATATTTATTTCCACTCAAAACATTTCTATGTGTCTGATATATACAAGCTATTGTTTTTGACAAAATCAAAACAAAACAAAACATGCATGACAACTATCAGATAGCAGAGAAAATGCAATTAGTCTAAATATCAACTAAAGTCAGTTTGGCTGAGGCTCAGGGGCTCCTTGTGAGGTGCCCACTCTAGATCTAGGGCCTGGTCCTCCACTGAAAATAAATCATTGGACTTAGGGAAGGAATTTCCAAGCTCTTAGGCTGTTATGCATCTTGCTAGGAGTTGGGGGCGCTAATTCACAGAAGGAGAGGGAAAAGAAGCAGGGATGGTAAAAAGGAGTTTAGGGGGCCCTCGGGTTCAATGAGGTTAAGGCAGGATACCCCGGCACATGTGGAACGACCCCTTTTGGCATCCTGGAATCCCAGCCTCCACAAAGTAAGCCTAGCAAAGCCCAGGGCCTTTCAGACTCCATGGAGGCAGGCCAGCAACGGCCTCAGAAAGGGCACAGTGTTTGGGCCCCTCGTGGACTTGGATTGGGGGGGGGGGGTGGAGAAGAAGAGGGGAACTTCTACTCCTCTCTACTTGGTCAAGAGCAGCTCTGAGGGGCCCAGGATCTGAGGGAACTCCTTCCTTGCCTGCCCCCTGACTGATGGATGGAGGAGCTTTCACTTCTCCTTGCAGTGGCCCGTTACTATAATTTAAGGAAGAAAGACATGTTGACACCTTTACCCACCTTTGACAGGAAAGTCATATTTATATTCGGAATGTAGGACACCCCTCCCCCTTGCTCACTCCATTCTCCTGCCCCTGGACATTTCTCCCTCCTTTTACTGCAGCCCAGCCCCAAAGCAGCGGAGCAGCTCCTCATCAGAGCTCACCTCTGGGGGACCAGTTACAGAGCGCAGGGCTTTGGCCTAGGCGTGTGTGAGGAGGTGAGAGAAGTAGGGGAATTTTACCAGTCTTGGCTACGAAGTGCAGTTTGCCATGGAGCCTGGCCTCCCTTGTCCCATTCGTGGGAAGGAAGTATCCAGTCCATTCCACCAAGCTGGAGGAGCCAATTCAGCCTGAACTCCGAGGTGTTTCTGAGTTTGTAGGGCCACACTCCTTCCCCTTTCCTCCCGAAGTCTGGAGATCTAGGGCACTTTAGTCCTCCCAAACCATCCAGGGCAGAGAGCAGGGAGTGGTGGTGGCACCCTTTCCTTTCTCCAAAATCAGGATTCCGGCTTTTCCACACGGGGCTTTGGCTGCAAAGAGACGCAATTGTGCCCACAGCCCTTTCCATTCTGCCCTGGAGGCCTTCCTAAATTCAATGGCCTGCTAAATGTAGAAGGAGTTGGGGAGGAGGGGGAGGAGACTATGTGAAAGCAGAAATCCAAGTAAAAGGGAGCTGGAGTGAGCCCAGGTTTAAATGCTAAGACAGGTGCGCCTAGGCCCCCACTGGGGAAGCCTCAAGGCCAAGGTTGTGCCGCGACTTCCACAGCCCCTCCGGGGAAGGGGAAAGCCTGGAGGTCTCCAAATCTGACCAGATCTCCAAATCTCCTGCTGGCTTTGGGGGCTGCAGACGAGCGGGAGGGTACTTAGGACCAGCTGAGAAGGAGCAGCAGGAAAAGCCCCCGTCTCAGCTCGTCCTCCACGCCAGGCTACGGCTCAAAAAGGGAGGCCCGGCCATGGCCAGGCCCGGGGCTAGTACAGCGCCAGCGCCTGCTCGCGCAGCACCACGCGCTTCTTCTTCATACGACGATTCTGGAACCAGATTTTGACCTGCTGGTCGCTGAGGTTCAGCCTGTTGGACAATTCCTTGCGCTTCTGCCGGTTGATGAATTCGTTCAGGAGGAATTCGTTCTCCAGCTCTGCAATCTGCTGCTTGGTGTAGGGTTTCCGCTTCTTGCGGGCCCTCCCGGGGGCCGCCCCCCACGGCAGGCCTGCAACACAGCCCGAACCCTAGTCAGCCCAGCCTGCTCCCTATAGCCTGCCCGCCCCCGGAGGCTCCCTCCCCCTACACACTCTCCCCTGCACCCCACCTCCCATTCCGGCCCCTGCTGGCCCGGGGAGCACGGCCAATGTTTACCGTCGGGCAGCGAAGGTCGCAGGCAAGATGCGACGCCCGCTGCCTGCACTGCCATGTTCAAGTTGAGCGGGCCCTTGGCGTCGTCCTTGAAGCCGGCGGCGCAGGGGGTCCCCTCAAGCAGGGCCGCGGAGCCCGGCGCGGCGCGGCCCACACCCGCGTAGTCGTACTTGGTCGATTTGAGACCAGCGGCTGCGGGGACCAGGCTAGACTCGGGGGCAAAGGGCGGCCGCGCTCGGCCACGCTCCTCAGGCCCGGCGACCGCGTCGGGCGTATAGAACTTGGCCTGCTCGTCGGGTCGGTCCTTGGCGCCCAGGGGCTGCAGGCCAAGAGGCCCGGAGCCAGCCAGGTAGGGCTGCGAGAAGCTGCCGAAGGCGGTGGCACCGGCAGGCTGCGCAGGGGCGCAGGAGGCGGGCGTGGCGGCCCAGGGCAGCGCGCCGCGCGGGTATGAGATGGGGGGAAGCGCGGCCAACTGGCCTCCATTCGGCCGCAGGTTGGAGAAGTAGAAGGAGTCGGGAGACTGCAGATTCAGAAGCGAGCCCACATAGCCCGCTCTGTAAAGACTGCGCTCACACATCTCCAACAAAGGGCTTCGGCTACGCTCGCAGCAGTATTTAGTTACAACCGGGAATAAGAGGACAGGCTCAGACGATTGGACGAAACTTTGCCTGCAGGTTCTTCAAAGCCGGTCATTTCAGCACCGCCTACATCCCCCGACCCGGTTTTCCCCCCCTTCAGAGTATTATGATAACACCCGCAATATTTGATGGTGAAGGACAAGGCTGCCAGGCAGAGCCAAGGCAGGTTGAGGGGAGGCGAAGCCTCCGTGAGTTTCCAGGCCCAGTGCAAGGAGCTGGGGGCATCGGGCATAGGGTGCCTTTGCCCGAGTGTCCCTTGGGACCCTTCTTGGTCTTGATTGGCTTTGCACTCCCGTTTCCTCCGCTTACCTGGGCCAGGCTTGCTTCTCCCAGCTTTAAGCTGCAGCCGAGGCCTTTTCCAGTACCCGGTGACTCTCGGCTTGTCGGAAGATCCTGTGGTCTGGGGCGGCCACCAGCTCTCTCCCTAGGCCTAAGCCATGCTACTCCCAACCCGTTCCTCCCCGTCCGTCCGTCCGGTCTCCCTGGAGAGGACTCTTCACCGGTGACCTGGCAGCGGAGAGCCACGCACTGCCCGAGTTCGGGGGCCGGGCTGCAGGCACAGTCCCAGAGTTCTGATGATGGAGAAGGGCATCACAGACGCTCCCGACTCTGGCGCCCAGGAAGGAAGCTTCACACCAATCCTGGGTGCTTCCTCACGGCCAAGCCCTCTGCTCCGGAGGAGGCCCTGGCGGGGCAGCTGGATTGGCCAAGGCTACATTCCTTTTACCGCAAGGAGTCACCTTGGCGACTACATCCTGCAAAGCAGAAGTCCAAGGTGTTTATCCCTCTGTGGCGGGCAGAGCAGGCCGAGCTCCCCAACCTGGTGAGGAAGGAGAGCGGAGCCAGAGCTATGGGCCAGGAACAGCGGGGCCCGCGGAGGAAGAGGGCTAGCAGCCGCCCTCCGCGCAGCGCCTCCGGGGGCTCGGGAGGCCGGCGGGTTCCGGGGACCAGCCAACGCGGAGGTGGGCGGGGCAGCGCTCCACCGCCCGGAGCCCGTGGCGGCCCCCGCAGCCCGCCCTGGGTCTAGTCTGGTCAGAGGGCTAGGGGTCCTCCTCTCCTGCCTCCGGCCCCAAGACCCCCAGCGACCCCGTGGCTGCAGCCCGCCCCAGCCTGCAGCCCGCCTCGCGGTGCCCGAGCCAAGCTGGAATTGGTTAGGCCGCCAGCTCGGCACCGAGACCACACAGGCGCCGCCGGAGGGCACCGCTGACCACCGCGCTGCGACTTTATTGTGTGAGTTATGGCGACCAATTGGGCGGCTCTGGGGAACGCAATCGGCCTCTTCCTCCCGCTCTAGGGCGGGGGTAGGGGGTGGGGGTGGGCAAGTCGGGGGCTCCTCAGACTGTCGGTTTCCTTAGGAGCTCAGACACTGAAACGCACTCCACTCCCCGTCCTTTCATGATGCGGAGGGGGGAGGGGGCAGACACAAGCTGCAACCTCAGTTCCTAGGGATTTAGGGGACCCAGGCGCTCATTTTTGGAAACCCGCCCCGTTTTTGAGGGGCTACAGCCTCCCCAGGCTCGAAAGCTCCAGCTCCAGGGGTCCCTGCCGTCTCCTCTCCTTCCATCTCAGTAAACAGAGATTCCGGTATTTCCAAGTCTCCCCCAACACTTAGCAATCACACAGCTACGGTTTGCCCCCCCCCCCAAAAAAAAAAGATAGAAAAGAACTAAGTGAGACACAGAAAAGACTAGAACAACTAGATTCTTCCTTCTCCTCGGCTCAGCCGCCCCACCTCATCTCCTGAGTTTAGGATTTCCGAGGGCCCGCAGGCAAAGCTGTATGCGTGGAGCCGGGAGCTGGGTGCAGGGCAGGCGGGCGGCGCGGGGGAGGAGGCAGGAGCTCCGCGGGTAAACTGGAGAATGGGAAAGGAAATGGGGCCGTGGAGTTACACGGCGAGCTCCGCCAATGCCGCCAACTGCCCAGGAGATGGCGAGCGAGCTCCACGCCTGGCGAGGCGCCGCCGCACGGTCAAGATCAACAGTGAAGGGCGGCGCAGCCGGCCGGGCGTCTCCAGCCGGTGCAGTCACCGCGCACCGCCGTGGCGGCCGGGCTGGCCGGGACCGCGAAGCCAGAGGGACTCCGCGGGCTGCCGGCACGGGCAAGCGCCGCCGCCGCCCCTTTGTCGGGCGCGTGTCCCGGCTCCACAGCCTCCTTCGCCTCTCGAACCACGCGCAGTCGCGCGGCCTCGATCCTCCACCGTGGCGCTCGGGACCTGCCGGGTTTCGGGGGCGCTCTCCGTGGGGCCTCTCCGTCTGCATCCGGGGGCAAGGCCTCTCCCCGAAGCTCCCAGCGCTTCGCGGCGTCCCGCGGGCCTCCTTTCCTACACTTAGCCCACCGACCGGCTCCTCTCCTCCCTCCTCCCTTCGGAATATAAAAGGAATTCATATAAATAACCAAGTCTTCATCTGTTATTGATTTAGCCGTCAATTCAAATTCCGCCGGGAGAGCGTTTAAGCGCAGTTTTAATCTTCAGCAAACCTCCCATTCTCTTAGGCGGAGGGAAACTACAGATGAAAGGAAAACCTCGAGGCAATCCCCCCGCATCCACTCATTCTTACAGGAAACCTGAGAAATGGACCCAGGAAATGGAGTACGGGCCCCTGAATCTGGAAGTTACAAAAAAGAAGGTGAGGAGAACGACGATGGAGAAGGGAAAACAGGCCCGTTTCGGATGAAAACACCTCTTATGAGAAAAACAGAAAATGTCAGTAATTCTCCCCAAAGTGGAAGGTCGGGCATGTTGTGGCCCCATTTTCAGGGGTTCTTTCTTCTCCAGAGATTGAATCGTGGTCCCCCTCCTCCTCCCTCAGTGTGTGTGTGTGTGTGTGTGTGTGTGTGTGTGTGTGTGAGAGAGAGAGAGAGAGAGAGAGAGAGAGAGAGAGAGAGAGAGACTCATTATTTAAACCAAGTTGACCACCCCACAATTAGTTGCAAGATATGAGCGAAATCAAGCAGTGCCAGAGAAAACGAAAGTAGCTTGGAACCTCAGCTCTCTGCGCTTTCTCTGGCAGATCCCTAAAGGAGCCCTCCCACCAGAAGAGTTTACATACTGTGTGAGGTTTTAAACATCTGTATCGAGCTTACATTCCAAAAAGTTAGCAACCACTAAACTGATTGTGCCTGGGTGTTAACAGTGAAGAGGCACCCCATTCCTCAAGGGCCACTTCCCTGAGAGGCAAAGGGAAAGTTCTCAATGCCTAAAAATTTGGGTCCAGAGGTTTAGGGTGTATAATTATGGTTTCAGTCCTCAACTGCTGTGTGCAGGCAGCTGAGAGAAGGCGATAAGGCAAAAGCTGAAATGTTTCCTTTTCAATGGCCAAATATGGGTATGTCTAATTTCAAGACCTTCCTAGAGTAGACAGATATTTATAACAGCCTTTCTGAGAAGAAAACCTCCAAGTGAGCATGTTTTTCTGTACCCGGGCACATGCGTATTGATTTTAAAAGTCAAACTGTGTGAATAAACTGATAATGTTCACAGAGAAGTAAAATTTTATTGGAGATGTTTTTGAGGTGGTCTGGTAAAAAAATATCATTTTAGACACCACAAGTTATATCCTCATTTAAAGTCATCACTGTTTATGTTAAAGCCATGGGAAGTGGGAGGAGTGGCAGAAGTGGGGAGGAGGGGGTTTCCAGAGATGGTGTTGAGTGTTCATCACCCATAGGAAACATCATAGTGTTTTGGATAACAAAATTTTATAATAAATAAGAATAGTTTCTAGAGGCAACATAAGCTTGGGAAAGAAAACAAATGTATAAAGACTCAGAGGAAATAAGAGAGTTCTGTTTATTTGCATCTCCCTAGGAGTAAAAAGTGATATTTAAATGCCTGAAGCACTGCTCATGTATCCCAGCTCACAGACATTTCATCTACAAAAATAATCTCTCAGTCACATAAATATGAAGCACTTTAAAAGTAGTTATCACTTTCAGAAACATCTTTTTTTCTTCTTCTTCTTGAACCTTAGAGCTCCACAATTTTTGCATTTGTTAGATGTTTTATAGCTCTGAGAGAGGCCCAATACATTTGTTCAGATAGTCAAATTCTTCAGTGGGTTCTGGGTAAAGATTCCCACTCATGGTCATATTAATTTAGCCTTTTTTTTTTTTTTTCTGGGGATGGAGGAGATGGCCTCAATTCTAGTCCCATAGACTGGAAGCCAAGGAGAGGGTTGCATTTAGGTCATCCACATTTAGATACCTCTGACAATTGCAGCCATTGAAATATTTGCATCTAGAGCTGGAGTAATAAAGGCATCCACGAGGACACATTATTTTCAAATTAAAGATTATCAAAGCACATGTCTACAAGGTGTATTAAACACATACAACTACAACAGCAAGTGAAAGACCCAAAGTCGAATAGATTGTCTTCATCCCAATATCAGTACAAACTCTATTTAATAAGGTGGCTTTTGAAGCCATCACAGTACCTCCAGCCTCCTCTCTTTAGACATTCCCAGTGACCCTAGAGCACTGCCTGCCCAGAGCTGTTTTCACTTGCTTCAGGGCAATTGCTGAGAGGTAATTATTCAATTACCCAGTCACAGGATATGAATGACTACAAACTTTTTGCACTAATGGATTATGAAGATAATCAGTGCTGGAAACAGGCATTTAAAGTGATTTTAAAAAAATAAATCCCTAAAATCAGAATGTCACTTCTGAAATTCATTGGGGCGGGGAAGGGTACTCAAAAATACTTCAAGTCCTTTATACTGGCCTGGAGGGAGAAACAGAACATTAAAAAGTCATAAAAAACAAACCTAGAAAAGAACAAAATCAATAATAAACAAGTAAGAAACAGAAACAGAACTACAAAGTCAGGTTGGATAGCAAAAAGTTTTAGAGCAAGATAAGGGGAAGAGAGAAAAACAATTCACAAAATGTGCCATTACTGGCAGGGGGGTGGAGGGAATTAAATACATATTCAAGTCTTTCCAAAGGTCTTTTGGAGACAACGGAAAGCATTTAAACCCTCTGTGGCCAATCTGGCCCACATCAGGAAACAGTATCTTTGAGCTTGGAGACGATTTTCTTGTCTTTCACTCTCCGGTTCTGAAACCAAATGGTCACTTGTCTTTCGGATAGGTTCGTGGCAGCCGAGATCCGCCGCCTCTTGTCCTTGTTAATGAACTTGTTAATGGCATACTCGTTCTCCAGTTCTTTGAGCTGCAGTTTGGTGTAGGGCACCCTCTTCTTCCTCCCACGACGGTAGACACACATGTCTGGCTGATTTAGAGCCACATCCCCTGGTATAAAAAAATAGCACGGGAAAAATTAGACCAGAATATCTACAGTACCTAGTTGGGGACTGTGTGTGTATGTGTTTGGAGGGGCTAAAGGGACTAAAGAAAGCCAGGCTGTTTACATTTTATTATTATTTACACAGACATTATTTACATGTTATTAAAGAAAGATTATTTACACTTCAAAGTGAAGGCCTATTTGATGGATCTTCATGGTTTCTCAAACCGGCATCTTAACAAGCCTGCGATTTTTTTATGGCGTGGTTATTGGGGATGTTCATAAGGACAGTTTCAGCAAATACCGGTTACGCACATACAAACCATACACTGACTTTTAAAAAAATGCAGGCTGTTTGTCCAGGCTTCGATTTCTTGTGTTCCTGTGTTTGAAACTTGTGAGCTTTAGTGGTTACTCTGGGGCATTCATGTCCTTGAAAAGTAGGGCGCAACTCTGTGACACCTCTTTGGGGAAGGGGAACCGCGGCCCCGATTGAGCAAAGGGCACGCAAAGACGTTCAACTTTAGGAGAAAAAAAAGGCCTGTATTCGTACATAAAGTGAAAAGGGTTGTGAGAGAGTTTAAATCCAAGGAGGAATTTACAGATTTCACACTAGCTGGGTTAACCCTGGTTGGGCAAGGACAGGCGCCCACTCCCAAGTAGGGGCATGCGCTTCAAGTCCTTTCTTTTCCTTCTTTCCCTCCCTCCTGTCCTCCCTCCATTCCCCCTGCTCCCCCAGGGTCCTTACCTGGAAAGGATGATTTCCAAAAGTGGGAGCCCTGTGGCTGGTCCTTGGCGCAGTACACCTGGCTGTTCCACCCGTTGGCCAGCGTCCAGGACTGGTAGCCCTCCATGGAGATGTACGCCTCGTGCCGAGGCTCCCCGGAGCCGAAGGTAGACACCATGTCGATGTAGCCAGGCACGTGCTGGTAGGGGCTCGTGTAGCCCTGGTAGAAGGACACCTCCTTGGCTCGCGCCGGCACCTCGTTGGCCGGTACGCTGCTGCTTGCCAGGCCCGACACGTCCATGTACTTCTCCACCGGGAATCCTCCCAGCGAGGAGTGCGGCGACGACTTGAGAGCATTCTGCTGTAAGCCCATACCGTGCGACATGCGGCAGCTATAGTAGCCGTTGCCGAAGTGGTAGCCGTAGCCCAGAGCCGGGGCGCCCGGGGGCGCTGCAGCGGCCGCCCCGGGCGCAGGGCACTCTTTGGCCGAGGGAGCCTCCGGGCGCGCTGAGACCACAGCCGAAGAGGACGACGACGAGGCGGAGCCCGCGCGCTCAGAGGTCCCAGGGTAGGCGAAGCCAGACGCCGCCGCCGCCGCAGCAGCCGCTGCCGCCGCCGCCGCCGCCGCGCGCCCGGAGTGCGTCCCGGCGAACACTGGCGCCGAGAGGAAGCCGCGACACTGGCCGGGCGCCGCTGCCGCCACGGAGGAGGAGGAGGAAGAGGAGGCCGGGGCCGCCCCGGCGGCCCCGCCGTCTGCCCGCAACCCGTCCATGTCCCAGCTCCCGGCGCGGCTCATGGCCCGGCCTGGCCCGGCCCTGGCCCTGGCCCCGGCCCCGCGCAGGACACCATGGCGCAGCGCGCCTCCTCCCTCCTCTCCTTTCTCTCTCCTTCTCGCGCTCCCGCCCTCTTCCTCTCGCCCTCTCTCCCACTGCAAGCCTCCCGCCTCCCGCCCGCCTGCCCGCCCTCCAACAGGTTAGCTCATCGCGGGACGTTTATAAAAACGAAGTTCAGGTTGGGAGGGGGCCTGGGACGGTCGGGGGGCCGCCTCCCTCCCCGAGGGCTCCAGCTCGGGGCCGTGCCATTGGCTGCACGGGGCCACGTGAGGGTGGGGGCGCGGGAGAGCCTGGCTCCAGGCCCGCGCCCCTCTGGACCCACCCACCCCGGCCCCCACCCCTCCCCAGCCCCTTGAGCAGCCCACCTCTCCTTCCCGCCCTCCCGGGGACCCTGGCGTTTGCGCCGCAGCCACCCCCACGAGCTGATTGCGCGACCAACCATCCTAGGCCCTGTTTGCGACTGAGGCGGGCTCTGAGGCCTGCGCCTTGTCTCCGCTAAGGCTGCTTTTGCCACCTCTCCTTGGCTCCCGAGTTGCACAACTAAATGAAGGGGAACGACAGAGATGGTCAGAATGATGTGAAAACAGACCGATTTTTCATCCTGTTGCTTAATTACTCGGATTCGCTGACCTAGACCCTAAACCCGAGAGAGCTAATTTTCACAGCCTTGCTAGGGGGGCAAAGGCGTTTCACGCATATGATCTTAGCGGATCCTCCGAACTAAGACCGATTGGAGCAGACTCTACTTACACACGTTGTCCGCCTGGAAATGCTCACAAAGCGCCCATGGGGCCAAACGCAGAGACTTACAAATAAGTCCAGCACACCATCTGCCCCAGCGAGAAAAGTCCGTGCCTGGTCCACGCTATTCGCCTCTACACTCGGGCCAGCCGGGAGTCATCCCCCGAGCTGGACTCCCCAGGCCTGGCGCAGCCTCCCCCACAACTTTTAATTGAGAGCTCCAGGCGAACGCCACTTTGCCGCTGGGCGCAAAAGCTAAGCGCCTCGTCTGCAGCCAACCGGTCTCTGGCATTTTGCAGCCACCGCCCCCCCCCCCTCCCCGCGCCGCCCCCTCCCGTCACTCACACCAATTAATTGAAAACTTCACTTTCCCAGGAACCTTTGTTTCGCTTTCTTTTCCTAGCTGCCAACTGCAGAGACCTAAGAGGAGCAAATTAAGAGGGCGGGTGTGTTCCCCCACCCCCCGCCCCCCAAGCAAAGTTGGGGCTGGTGATAGAAGCAGCCCAGAGCAACTGGTTCTGACTTCGAGGGGTTAGAGTGGGCTGCCGGCAGCCCTGTGAGTGTGCCAGGAATCACAGCCCTGACCCCTCCTCATCCCTTTGTGCCAGTCTTCAGCCATTGAGCCCCAGTCCACCCTCCTCCATCTCAATCATTAACAGTGAGTCTTTCAGTGACTCTAAGGTTCCACTTTAGGACAGACATGCGAATAGCTGAGGATTCTGGGGTGGGTGTAGGAGCCCTCTGAATGAGTCCATTTGAGTTCTTAGTATCAACTCCCCAGGCCAGCCCATCTCCAAGAAAATCACTCCCCTTGAGCCTGTGATTGGTGAAGCCAGCCTGTCACCTAGACCTGCTGTTCCTGGATCCCAGACAGAATCTGGACGGGGCAGAATACCAGAGCAGGGGCCTTTTACTGGGGCAGAGTAAGAGAGCCCTCCTGGGCCTGGCCTGGCACTGCAGGGTGGGCTGCTGGTGTTGGGAGTGTTGACATGCAAAACCCAGTAACCATAAAAGGCTCAAATAAAGGGGAAAGTTATGAGAGGGGTGCTGGGAAGGAAAAGCGGGAGAATTTGACCTTTTTGAAGTCCTGGACATGTTCTTGATCAAATTGAGACAGGAGGAGCCTAAGCCTTTGCAAAAAATCATAGGGAATAGGAATTTGCTGATGAAAACAATTTTGAGAGAATGCAAAAGTTAGCAATGGAAGCTGCACCGGCGTTAAAGAAAATGCCAGTCAGGGTTAGGTGACAGTGACTGACTTTTTAGAAGAGTATGGCTAGGTTCTCTTTACCCAACAAACCAATCTTGGGATGCTATTCTGAAATACTCTTACTTTCCCCTTTGTCTCCCTTTCTTTTTTTTCTCAGAGAGAGAGAAGACAAAGATACTTAGAATTTTTTTTCTGTGACCTCAAAAAAACAAAAAACAAAAAAACCACACACACAAATGTGTTGAAATATTTCTAAGACATAATTGGAACCAATGAACTTTCAGTCTCTTAAAACTAAATATCCCTGTGATTTTGTACTCTGGGACATCTGTGTGATTTTCTATCTGACAAATACATCTTAAAAACTGATTATATGCTAAAGAATGAAGAAAGTGATATTAAAATAGGAAGCAAGAACTTGTCAAGGTTGGCTGTTTTCAGACCACACTTCACTTTTGGCTGAATTTCCTATGCAGCAAGTTAAGCTCTGCAGGACTGGAAAGAAAGTCTGGATGAATGCCCTGGTTGAAAGACAGTCCTCAGTGGTGGCCCTGCCTCCAGTTGCCCTCTGGGTCTCCTGCAGGACTTGGGGTTTCTCTGACGAATCTTGAGAGTGTTCAGAGACCAGGGAGACTTTGAACAATAAAGAGCATTGCCTCTTGCTATCCTGCTACTACTGCCCTTGCCTCCAGTGTAGCCTTACATCCTAGGAGAGGCATTCCCCACAGGCAAGTGTCTCTGACTGGACCCTATGAGGGCCCCTAAACCCAGCACCCCAGGTCAGCTGCTGCTATTGGATTATAGGGCTGTGGTTGAGTACCAGACCAAGTCAGGGCTGCTCTTTTTATGAACCAATAAGACACAGAGTTTACAAGCAGGGGGTGGTAGTTAGGGAAGGAATTTTGAGGCTGAATTTGCAGAAACATTTCATTTAGCTTGTATACCCTATGTCCAAGCTGATCTCAGGTTTAAAGTTAATAGGAATAATTTTCTTAAACTGGCCAGGAGTACAGACTGTGTGTGGGTGTATTAGTTGGGGCTTTAACAACAGAAATAAATAGTCTTTGTTAAATGAAAATCTTTTGCGGCCATAAATGTGTCCAAACACCGATGTGTTATTCAGTGAAATCAGTGTTGCCACTTTTCCTGATTTTGGGGAGAAACTCGGCGTAGCCCCTCATTGTCCAAAGTCCCACTCTGCCAGGGAGAGAAAAAGTCGGATTAACTCTGCCCTCTCCTCTCATCACTTACTCCCCTTCCTTCTTTCCTTCCACAAACACCCTTTTTGGGAATCAGTCATGTTCTGAAATATTGAAGTAGCATTCTTTTTTTTCCTCCTTGTAGATGATCTTTCAAACCGTGTCCCTGTCCTTGGGTGGGGAGCAGGTAGGTGCAGGCTGTGATTTAGATTTATGGACGAATGTAAGTTCCTCTGCATGCCACGACAGCAGTGAGCTATCGATTAACCACATAATCTGTGACCATTAGCGCTACGGCAACAATGATCAAGTCCTGTCAGAGTGGGACACCCTCCTAATTAACTTGTAAGATGCCAAAAATTCAGTGTAGAAACAGAGTCTTAATTCCAACGTAAAGTCTTAAACCCAGTGAGTGTGGCTGGACAGTGTTCTTAACCAAGTCTGTGCCCTGACAACTTTGGAACTAATTTTCCCTCTGTAGACAATACCCAGTTTCACTCAGGCTGGAAATATCCAAAGGAATTTAAACAACAACAACAACAAACCAAGGGTGAAGAAAAGGGTCTCTAGCAAAAGCCAGACAGTGGAATCCTGCGTTGAGCACTTTTTAGATCTGAGACGTATTCCATTTGGGTTTAACAACAGAATTAGAATTTATTTAATGTAAATTGTTTGCAACTAAGAAAACCCCCTCCAAACCCAAAGCACATTTTGGTGAGACCAGGTTTGCCTCCCACAGGGCAGCTGGCCCTGTTGGGGATGGAGGGAACCCTCCATTTCCTGTGGGAATTAAACTCTGGGAGCATCATCCCTCTCAGAGAAGCACTCACCTCCTTGAGGAGGGGGCGCCAGAGGGTGGGACCAGAATTGGGAACCTGGGTTACTTTTGCTTTTTTGGCAAGACAAAAGCTGGGACCGCAGCAATTTTCTGCTGCTTTGTCCACATCTCAAGGTGTGGGATTGTCCTCCGAACACACTTGTCTAGCAATATTATTGTTAACTGGAGTCCAGAAAGTGCAAACTCTGTCGGCCCTTTTGGATGACAGAGAATCTCTCTCTCTCTCTCTCTCTCTCTCTCTCTCTCTCTCTCTCTCTCTCTCTCTCTCTCTCTCCCTCCCTCCCTCCCTCCCTCCCTCCCTCCCTCCCTCTCTCTCTCCTCTTTCCTCCCCCTCCCCCATTCCGCTGTCTACCAGAAATGCACGTGTGGTGTGGTCAGCGGCACCGCCACGGGATGAAGGTTAGGGAAATGCCTGAGGACCAAGGGGCGCGGGGTGAGGTGGAGTTGGGGGGCGCAGGGAGGGAGGAGAAGGGACAAGCGGTCAGGCTTCGCTTCCCGGACCGGCGGCGCGCAGTTCCCCAGGCCTGGCGCTAGATGTCCCTGCAAGTTTTCCTGTCACGTCTCCGGGCGCACAAGTTTCAGGCAGGCAGTGTGCCTAGGTAGCCCCAGAGTTCATGGAGAAAGTACTCCTCCATCCTCCCCTCAGGTGGGGTGCGGGATTCTAGGGGGAAGAAGGAGGAAAATAGAAGCAGCCAGAAAGACCCGAGAGAGGCAGAAACTCAAGGCTGACTTGCCAGGGATGGCCGCAAAAAGTTGCCAGTCCGAGTCAGGCCTGGATTCCCCAAACCAGCGTCTTCCCTCATAAACCGAAACCTCCAAGCCGTGGGGAACTCGCTCAGCCTAAGGAAAATGTGCCCGGGGTTCGCAGCTCAGGCTCTAACCAGACAGCTGCTCCCTCACATCCCGCGCCCAGCGAGCTTGCAGCCCAAAGCGGCAGTGGGATTTGTGCCCCGTGGTCCGGGGGTGCCCTCCCCTCTTCTCCAGCAGCGCGGACAAGTTTTTATTATCTTCAATCGACCCCAAGTGGAGAACCTGCCGCTCCGCTCCGCAAGAAACAAATATTTGGTCTGAAGGCCTACCCGTCCCTCAAATTAGGCCTC